TTTTCTTTTCCTAACATTGATGTGGAGAAGATATTTGTCTTTTTGTACGTTAGTGAGTAGGAGCTGTTGATATCGTACGTTACGACTTACGCGAGCAGTAGTTGCGCGGTACGATTATTCGCAGTCGCGATATGATACAACTCTCGCAACCGAATACTGAAACGTGCTGATATTATATTTTGCTCTTTCTTGCAAAAGACACAATGGCCAATATCCTACCCCAAAAAGGAATAAATACGGTTTTCGAACAAAAAAACTGAGCATTTCAGTCCCTTTTTTCTTCCCCCCCCCGCGCTTTGGGGTGTAATTGTACTTGCACACTTGCATGTGCACTTGTCGTGAAATGATGGTCATTTGTGTATGCAGTACGTTCTACCTTTCTTGCAAATTTCAGGTTTGTTTCGTGATGCAACAATTTTAATGTCCAGCAGTAGCAATGTACATGACGAAGAGTTACCTTTTTATATTACTGTTTAATTTTAAAAAACACCGTGTGACAGAATCCTAGAATCTAATGCATAGACTAATGTTGGTATTGCAATTTTTAGAACGTGCCATATTTTTATTAGTGTAAATTAGTTTCAAACATAATAAAATTCATATATGATGATAATTATATAAAACGTATTAAACGTATCGATTGGCATGACAGGTAGAATTATTAAGACATGAATTGTAGATGTTTTTTCAGAAAAGAAATTTATAATGTTTTACATATCGAATCGTAGTAGTTTTATTTCTAATTAAAAATAATAATGAAGTATCTTGTCCTTCCCACATTACGATGAAATTCGTACATCTGATGTTTCACAGGCTTCTCAAGTCAGAATTGTGTATTCTGCTTTGGAGACATGAAATTCAAAATGCGCTTTTACCTTCGTAAATATGAACAAATTTAGAAATGAATGCCATCCTTGTCGTCTTAGAGGGATAGCAGTTTAATTCAGTGAATAGTTTAGCATTCATACCAGGTGTAATTCATTCCAGGTTTTTAGAAACCTTGATTCGAGGATAAAATATTAAATACAAAGAAATTAATAGCTTATCTAGGGTTGTATAAATATGCCTTGGGTTGTATACATTAGACATTGCAGGCAGTTTATAAATATGATATTTTGGGGAATTTTCCCTTTTTCGGCAAATTCACTTTATAAAATGCGCTTAAAATCCTGGTATTTGGTGAATTTTTTTAAATGCCTCAGAAGAAACTTTTATCTACTAGAATAGTTTTCTCATGTCGAGCGAAGTTTGCATGGTCACTGCTTAACCGGCAGGTGTGTAAACAGAGTATTCATATTTCTACAGCGCGTAAATGATGACATTTCGTAATTGCCCGTTGATGCTTGTGCCTTCTGTTATTCATTTCGAGGCGAAACGTTTGAAAGTTGAATTTCGCGGAATGTAGGCTAGTATGATAAGTAGGCTTATGCATTAACTGAACAGTATATATTGAGTATGAAAGTGTTGATTTTAAATAAACATTAAGCATTTGATTTTCATTGTGACCCGTATAAATTAGTAATAAGCTTCAGATATTTGCTTGTAGAGTATTATCCGAATAGGTAAGGTAAGGATGTTTCCTTTGTGATTGGGGTGATGAAATCAGTCTGAAAACAGATGCATGTTAGAACTCCAAATATCTTCATTAACTGGACTGCAGCCCATTCGGATATTTATAAATTCCGGGTGATTGGGTTGTCTTTTTTCTGTACTTTTACGTACAAATTTAAGATAATGCTAAGGGAGAACTTTTGTTGTAACAAACATTAGAGCATAGTTAAAAAATACGTACTTTTTATTTTTGCATAATTTTTATTATTATGCATAATTGTAATCTATGAAAATTAGAAAAAAGGCTGTGTGTTTAGTTTTAGAGCCGACTTAAGTAAAATAATGTCGATGATTCAGTTTAAGCAGAAATATGCAAAATGTTGAGGCTAACACAAAGTTATTTCATTCTTTAATTTTATCAATAAAAATCATTTTTGTAGGGAGCAGAACACATAACCTATTTTTATTTAACTAAGAATAAAATGAGATAAAATAATACAATTATAACAGTATAATATAAGTATTATTAAATTTTACTCTCAATTTACAATTAATTTATTCTTTTTGTTGAAAAAGTGAAAAAGAAAACAATAAATTTACATAAAATTGTTTTACTTAAATCTTAGATATAACAAGGAATACGGGAAAGTAGAGTTCTACTATATTTTCATTTCAGTCATTTACGAAGGGGGGGGAATCATGCTATTCGAATTCATGATTAAGTGGAATTGTAAGCCAACAAAATAGTAATTTTGCCAACATCATTGAAGTTTTGTAACTTAGAAAAACCCGTTATTTTTTGCGGCTCCCTATGGCATTTGTTTAAAAGCTATGTATGACGAGGATATATTGTTAGACATTTGGTATTAAGTGCATTGATTTTCTTTTGGTAAATAAATTTCCAAGGGGCATTATTTTCTAAGAAGATCTAGATATTTGATTAGTGGACGTGTTTTTGTGCTGCTGAAATAACGGGGCCTTCAGTCAAGCGGGATCATAAGCATTTGTTATATCCAGCAAGAGTTACATTAGTTGTCTTTTTTTGCTGTAATCCGTTCGAGATTTTATCTACAGTACGATAGAACCTGATGTGTTATGGATAATAAAATTGCTGTATATTAATTTCGTTGAAGTTCCTAAGGTATCTTATGTTAATTAACCAGTTATTATGATTTTGATCTTTAACTTCGCTTTTCCGTATTCTCACCAGAATGCAAATTAGCTTTGAAACTATTTTAGCTGACGGTTTTGAATCTTTGAGAGAGCTTTAAGGAATCGCATTTACTGTTAGTAATTTTCGCCAGCCCTGTTTCCGGCTTTGGTATTCTCGCTAGCCAATGCTTTAAACTTGCTAACTGGTAAAATACTTTAATCCAGCTTATTTCTTGTGCTAGCTTATGTTAATTTTAGACTATGTATCAGCGTTTACATTTGCTTGTTATTGCTTAATTTAAATAGCCTCGAGTAGTGGTTTTGTCTGTTGCGCAAGTTGGGTCTTTATGTTCAATTTAGATTAAAATAAAAAGGGTTATCTTAAATCTTCTTCAGTAATCTGTGAGTATTTAAGATGTAGCGATAACTGACTGTCTTTATCTTGTCTAGTGGGGTCTGCAGGACTTAGTTTTAGTTTCCGGTTATGAGAGTAACTCTACAAGTTCATATTATATATAAGATTTAAATATAAGATGTGCTGTTTTCAGCTTAAGTTATTCAAATCATCATTTGTTTTATTAATATGTAATAGTATTTTTACTAAATAAGGTATTAAGGAAACAGAATACATAAGCTACGTAGTCCCACGTTTGCTTCTTAAATGGTGTAGTATTTGATTTATAACACACTCAGCGTTTAATGTTCTTATACTGTAATAGCATTTTACATCTTTCGAACGTGTATATCGTAAATGCTGTTATTAGGCAACCGCATTGTTGCACAAGTATGCTTTATGCATAATTTTGTATAGCTGTGTTTTAAGTCAACATGGTAACGTTTAGTGCGTATCTAGAAAGGGGGGTTAGAGCTAAAGTAAACAGCTTTTTTGCAGTTTTATTTTTGAAAATAAAAATTACGAGATAAAAAGCGATGTTTTTGGTTACCATTTCTCCTCCATGTCTTTGTTCCTTTCATCATTGCGCGCCATTTGTGTTGACTTTTTTCTCCCCACAGTTCGGAAGGAATAAAGTATTCCTATTTTGTGTTTCTTAGAAGTCTGCAGTGAGTGGCAAATCATGGAGGTAGGAAGTTCCTACCTCCATGTGGCAAATAAGGGGATATCGATAAACGGGGTAGCGTAAATGACGGCGCGAAGAAAACTCTGTCGCTAAACAGAGATGCTTGGAGAAGGAGGGTAACGTTAGCTATTATCGCCCTTGTGTGACTTTATTGATGCCGCCAGAGAAAAGCTCTTCAGATTCTTTCTATGCTATTTCCGTTAGGACCAAATGGGAAAACATAACGGGAGTAAGTTATTGATTTCAGAGATAGTGAATGTGTGGTTCAACTTTTGTTCTTTTGCCTCAAATGTTTCTAATAAGGGAATGTTTGCAAATTTTCTTATGATCCACCTTATTTTTTATTCGAATCAATTTAAACTTATCCAAAGAGGTTAAAGCATATTCTAATTTAAAGTGTGTATCAAATTATGGAAACATATCTTTGTTTTCTCGTTTATTAGTTTTTGTATTTATTCGAATTAATATGCTAAAGAGAAGGAAAATTCGTTTCTGAAATCATTATGTAAAGTGTAAAATTGTGTATATATATATATATAATGCATAATTTTTTTCCGCCGTATAGGAACAGGATGACTTTGATATACAACTGCTTTGACATTAAAATTGTGGGGAAGGGGGAAGAGGATGAGAAGTTTGAATGGCTTGATCCTTTCTCAGTTTCTTAAAAAAATCATTTAAAAAATAAGTGAATAAATAAATAAAATGGAGGAAAGAAAAGAAAACTATTGAACAAAAATATTATTGACAGGTGAAAAGCTACAACTTAGAACTAGTCTTTGTGTTTATCGCCATAACTGTTAGAAGAACCAAAAATCTTACTCATTTTAATTTTTATTTATAAAAAATTTGAGAATATTTTGAACATTTGCTGGACTAATCTGGATCAGCATTTACTAGTTTATATTGTGTAATTACTAGTGCTGTTTTTGCATATATGACTTTTAAATCTGTGCTTGTGTGTGCTTTTTTTAACACAGTGAAAAAAAATTAAAAAGCATTTTTATCACACTTAAAGAAGTTATGTATTATAAAGGTGAAAACAGATGTATCGAGTGAAAAATTTCAGTTATAAAGTTTAGAATGATTTCTGTAGAAAAGAAAATAGCTTGACTTTAGCGTTAGAATACAAATATTTGAATTTCTTCTGCACATTGTTTTTAAATTATTAAATTTTTAACCATGTTTTTTTTTTTTTTTTTTCTTTTTCTTTTTTAGCCATTTAGTTCTGAAGGTTTTGACCAAGATTCCACTAGGTTTAATTCTTCAAAGCCTGGCCCATATTCAGATGCTTTTTTTATAGGTAAGTTTTTTTTTTTTCATGTGACATAATGTTTGAAAATGTTTTCTGGCTTTTTTAGCTGAGTATTAATGTGAGGCATATGCTTCCCATTACAAAGAGCTTAAGTACTTACTTAAATAATTGTTACAAAACATAAACTTTTTTTTAGTGTAAAAAAAAAAAAATATATATATATATAGATATATATATTATATTATTTCCAGCAAAATTGCTGAGATACGGTAAACTAACCAGTTTATTTGTTTTTTTTTTTTTTTTTTTTTTTTTTTTTTTTTTTTTTTAATGCTTCTGCAAAATTTACATGTAATGATTAAGAACTTCTTGTTTTTAACTAATTAGAGCATAGTGACTGTTTTACTGTTTGGAATTTTTATTATGTAAAAGAATATAGGGAAATTAATTTTTTTCTTCGTAGAACCTATTTTAGCGCAATGCTAAATCTGCTTTTATAAAATTCCTCATTTTATTTTCAGAAACTGTTACTGGAAGTTAATATCTTATAATATCTAGGTGCAGTATTGAAATACTGAGAAAATTTTAACTTTCTATAAGCTGAATAATATTTAAAGATGTTGTATTAAAACTAGAATTTATGAGTTGCTTTACCTTCATTATAAGAAAGTGTGATAATTGCTTTCTATCTTGTGCTTAAAAGTAGTTCAAGATGTCAAAATTGCAAAAAAAGATCCACTAATTTCTACATGTAATTTTTTTTTAATACATCAGGAAGGAAATATAATTTTAGTGGAAATGTTAGCAGGCAAAATTAAATTTTAAACTTCTCTTTCCAGAGAAGTTAACATAAGGAGAATTAAATAACCTAAAAATGTTGTTCTGTATTACTGACAAATGTATTGTGCAAAGTATGATGTTTATTGTGCTAATTTTGCATTACCAAACTGAAAGTTGTGTCAGACAGAGTTTTCTGATGTTATGCCAAATTCGTAGACAGTTTTTTAAAATTTACATTTACATTTATTAAGAGAGAAGTAATCTGTCTTTAGATATAGCATATTATGACTTTCCATACAGGTGTGGCAATTCAAATTATTTTAGTTAAATATTTTCATCAAATCCTTTTCTTCCATTGCCTTTCTGATACTTGGCTGTAATATTTCTTCAGAGATGAGGAGTCATGGCTCGATATAGATTCCATATATTTACTTTTCCAACTCTTGGCAAGGTCACCAGGCATTTGCTGTATGATATGACTGAGATACTGCTTTGGTTTCTGCATAAACAAGAAGTACCTAATCATCCTTGTCAGTAACAAATGGCTATTTTTAATCACCTTCAAGACAACAGCTTAGCAATAAAATATTGGGAGTTCTTACATACAGGAAAACCTGGTTATTACTGTTTAGTACATGAAACAGCCTGGCTTCTCTAAATTATAAACTTCTGATGAGATCTAACACAAAGTTTGTTGAGTTTCATAGTAGTTGACCTCATAACATATTTTCCTCCTCAATTCAATCCCTAAATTCTCATATTTTTATTGCATTTTATTTTGTTCATTTTACTTTTATAAGATGGATAATATTATTAATATTTGTATTATTTTTAGAACATACAGAACAACTTTTTTACTGCAAATAAAATTGAAATATTGTCCCTGGAAGTTTTCTTTACTTTCTACATGAGCACTTAACAGAGAAGTTACATTTGTAGTTATATGTATAAAAAATTCAATTGCTGTACTTATCTGTTTAATTACAATTAATAAGTATTTAGCTTCTTTTTTGGGGGGGAATTTAGTATGCTATATCTGAAAACAAGGCTAGAGGCACAATCCAGACATACCAACTCTGTCTTCTAATTCTTTTGCTGTGGTCTTTTTTTTTTTTTTTTTTTTTCAGTGAACTTACATGTATTAGGATCTTACTTCCCTCTCCCGCTCGGTAAAATTTCCTCTAAAAAATGTCTCACCGAGGAAGACCTTTCTTTTATCATCTGCTGTTGCATGCCTTTCAATCAGTCAAATGATAATATCCATTTGAAACCATAAATTCATATCTTTACTGCTATGTTTTTTTTATACTAGTATTGAAGTCATATATAGAGAACTTTGGCTACTCCCAGACTCATTTACAGATAATTCAGTTTTTGAATCGCTGTAAATTTGAAGAAATTAGCTGCATACATTTTGAATGGGCCATTATTTTATTGTAAAAAAAGTTTTACGTATTTATCTGTCAATAACGCATAAAAGCAAGCATATCTAGAATTCCAGCCTTTTTGACCCCTCAGTGGTTGCAAAGATAACAAGTTCTTCCCAAATGCATGTGATATATCTTTTGGAAATTTGTGATAGAAGCTATGTTTGTTGGCACCCATTGCGGTCTTTAACTGGAATGTGGGCTGAGCGAGTTGATGACCGTAAAGAGTTATTTTGAAATGTATGCCGAACTAAGGTTCTTTTTTGATTAATTTTAAATGGGTGGCTAAAATCAAAAGCAAACTGTTTGGCGACTTAATCCCTTATGTGGTGTCATTTCTTTATCTTTTGGCAATTTTTAAAATATATTTTGACCTTATTTTTTACTTTTCAACTTTGGATCAGTTTAAGAAACTCATTCCATAGTGTTTTGATCATATTAGCTGAATTGCTGGTAAATGATTTATTTTCCATGTTTTTGTGTGCAGATGGGACTTCAGCAACTCCATGACAGTATCCAAAAAATAACATTAACTATGATTGCATTCAGCAGCATCTATTGTATATACTTTCAAAATCTAGGCTTTAGTTTCTTAGCTGCAAAAACCAGTAAAAAGGTGCATGAGCAATGTATGATATAAATTAGGTTTGCTTGTGTCAAATTTATGTTTATATTCCAGTATAGTATACTTTTCTGGGCTCTGACAAAGACTTAACTTTTGGAATACTCTGACTCAGTAGCCTGAATGTATCTGAATTAATAGTAAAATTTACAAATTTGTATTTAATGATTTAATAGGAAATTAGTCTTTTTTCCCCCTTTAATATTGAAAAGTTATTTATTATTACCCCGTTCAAGTAAATTGTGTAAATCTTGTTTGTATTAGAACTATAAAATTATAAATAATTTTAAAAAATTCATCACATTTAGATAAAAATAACATGCTGAACAAATATTAATTTAGAAGTCAAAAAACAAAAATCAGCATTATATTTGCAAATTTTAACAGGACTAGTTTCAATGGTTTTACTGAACCACTATCCTCAGCTGCCAAAGAGCAAAGGAATGAGATAAGATAAGCTAAGAATGGCTGGACAGGAGTTAAGCTACTGGCATTGATGAAACAAGAAAACTAAAACTTAATTTCCTTAAAGGCTGAAGGTAAAAATGGATTGGAATTGGGTTGTTAACTAGAACAGAAAGATTTTTTTTTTAAATGTGAAATGGCTCTACAAAATCTAATTCACCAATAGAAGATTTTTTTGAATAATTTTGGCTGCAGAAAAATGGACCAACAATGCTGGGCAACAGAGGACTTCTGTGTTTTCTTTTTCCTAATATATGCCTCATGTTCTTTAGTGTGAAATTTTAAGGCTGTCTTAGTTTGACCAATGTAAATTTAACCACAGTGGCAAAGAATCCTGCAAATACCCCAGGAATTCATATCCAGAAAGAGGTTCCTTAAGTAAGGAACTCGGAATTTTATTGACAGGAGAATAAACGACCCGAAAATTAAATTTCTGTAAAATATGTGCAGTTTTATAACTGATTGGTAGAAAGAGAGTAATGACAACAAAATTCAACTGCTTTGTTAATAATGTTGAGTTAAAAGCCCCTATCAGCAGCTATGTAGTAGATTTTTGTTGTTTGACTTAAACTAAATTAACTTTTATCCAGTTATGAGGGGTTTTTTTTGGCCATTTAGCATATTATTTAGAATATTTTTACCTATTCTGTTTAATGTTTAAATATTGTCCTAATGAAGAGAAGATTCTGAATATAAATAATAAAACTAAGTAATTTAACATATTTAACTAATAAATGTTGTTTAATACAGCTTTTCATCAGTAGGTCTAAAAGGCCATGATGTTAACAGGGTTAAATAAACAAGAGGATCTTTTAACACCAAGCATTTTTAAAAACTAATGAAAATTTCTGTTTGTTTTGACCCTTTTTATAGATGGTCCACATGCAGCTCCAGATCCTTGGTCTACTAGTCCAAGCCTGCAATCCTCCTCGTATTCATATTCAAATTCTGTGATTGGCATTCCTGCCTCTCATCCACCTCCCACATCTTCTGCCTTTTCCACTATGCATCTTCCTCCTGAGCCTTTGGTAAGTTGTTTCAGATTTTTTTCCCTTTTTAAACTAAAATTTGACACATAATAAAATTGTTAGAAATTACTCTGATTAACATGTTAATTGTGCTCAGTAATTGCTTCCCATGATTAAAACTGGTAGGTCTAGTATATTTATAATTGAGATTTATTATGTTTAATGTTGATCTAGTGAGTATTAAGTATTTCATAGTCTCAATGTGAACTTTATGAATATGGATTTCATTCAAAGTATTTTACCACTTAAAAAAATCATTTATTAGTTGGAAGTATCTGTGTCAGAATCAGCTTATTATAACTTTTGGGGGGCTTTGAATGAACTTATTTTAGGTATAAATGTTATAAATATTAGAAAGAGAAAAAAATGCATGTATTTCAGAATAATAAAGCATACATATAAAATATCTGTTTACAAATAAAAAATTATGTTAAACTATGTTGTAAGATTTGAGTAATGCAAAATAAATAATGAGCAAAATGAAATCTCTACATATAATAAAAGGAAAAGTCTGTGTTGTCTTTTGTTCATTTGTTCGTGTTGGCCGTAAGCTAACAGACCCAGGGCTACAAAATTTAGTACATAGGTGCATCTAGGCAAGTGCACCTCAAAGCCATTTTTTTAAAATTCGATTCAGTTTTTTTTTATTTTATGTTTTTTGATGAAATCGCATCAATATCACTGTTGCCACTAAGAAAAATAAGGGTGATAATTCTGTGCAATTTTAAATTTACTGTCTCTCTTAGATACTGGACATTTGTTGAGAGGTACTTGGATACGGCGTTTGTTTTCCGGTACATTTAAAAGCCAGACGAAGGCTGACCGCTTAGCGGCTAGTGTACAATAATAAAAAAGATTTGAACTTCTTTACATCGCATTACAGGATGTCCTAGAATAAAGTGATGAACACATGTAGGTAAAATCTTTGTATTCATTACCTTGCAGTATATAGCTAGAAAGAAAAACTCAGAATCATTTGTTTGCTGGATAGACTGGTGTGTATCAGACTTGAGGCTTTTAGAATTTTTTTCTGCGAAGAGTTGTAAAGAAAGCAGTGTATTGAATGCCTGTGGAAAATGTTTGTGTGCCCAAACAACAGAGGTCGTAAAAAAATAGAACCTCAAGAACAGGGATCGTTTATACTCGTTACTATTGTAAGGAATTATTGCATTCTCCCATGCATGCTTTCATAGTGTGATTATTATATGTAGCTGACAAGTAAAAGGTCTGAGTTTCAGAACCTAACAAGTTTTTCCTTGTTTCCTGGTCCAAAATGTATGATGGTCAATGCTCCATAATAATGAGCAAATCCGTCATAATTTTGCACTTTAATCTTAGGAGGTGTTCAGTGTTCTTAAACTGAATTGTCATTCAGGCTATGTCCACATGTCAATCACATGTGGATTGCCTTTCCATAATGTCTATAGCTCAAACCAGTTCATTTGATAGTGTTTGGGGTTCTAAGAGCAAACTTGTTTTACTTCCTTAAATTTTGCTATTGTATCAGGTGTTCATCCTTTCACTTGCAGTATGTGTATCATCCATTTAGTTAGATTGATAAATATGCTTGCTGGTCAGACAAGACACATCTTGTGGGTTTTCAAAGAGTAGTAATTTTAGGAGTTTTTAGTACACTTGGTACCGTATTTGACGGCATATAAGAGCACCCTTATTTAGAAGGCCACACACATGTAGATGTAGAAAAAGTTATGTGTGTCTAGACTTATATCCGGGCTAAAAATAGCATTCAGTATTGAAAGTTAACCTGTGTCCTTCATGTATAAGATGCAGGTAACTTTTTTTGAGATCAAATTTAGGGAAAAAGTGCGTCTTATATGCCATCAAATACGGTAGTTGTTTAAAATATGGTAGTTATTGTTGTTGTGCTCAAAGCATTTCTGTCATCATGAATGTTTTGCTGGGCTTTATGTATTCTACATGCATGAGAGCATTTGCACCATTTCTCTATATTAGCCTTGCTGTTGTGTTGGAAGAATCATTCATATACTTTATTGAGGCTTTTTTGTAACGTCCAAATGGCCTCTGTGTATGTCCGTTATGAAGTTTTGAAAGACTATTAGGGACTCAAGATCTTTTTTAATTGAGTTGTCATTGTCTTTCTGTCCTTACCCTCTCATTTGTAATAATTCATTCCATACTGGAGGAAGTGACTGTTACTGTGTGTGTGCCCAATACATTTTCATTATCAGTCTAAAAGCTGCTTTTTCTTCCCAGTTCGATTTTCCACCTGCTTAAAGTCAGGAAGGGGTTTGAGGGTTCTTCAGTTCCTCTTTCTTGCAAAAATCGATCTAGAATGCTATAATGACATTAACTTATCTAAGGACTGCAGCTTCAGAATCATATTTTTACTCAGGTGTTTTTATGTAGCCTTTGCATTTTTCTACACTGGCTGTTCATAAAAGTTGATTAATATTTCTGTGATGATGATTCTTTGTGATGTCAAATGTTCTGTCATAATCCTCTGGCTGCTTAGTGCATTTGGCTACTTGATCCTCTGGATTAGTACCCAAGAAGAATTTGTGGCTGTGGAGGTAATAATGGAAATTTTGGAATGTTTTTGTTGTAGTTTATAATTTGGCTAGTGACAAATGAATTGGATTTATGATTTGAAATGCTGTTATTGAAATATGCATAAACTTATTTTTGATTGTGTATTTTTTTCAAAAGAATGTACCATTTCCTTCATTCTTGGCTTTGTGTAAAGGTATATTATGAATGAAGATGAAACAGGAAGCAATGAAAGATAGTAGTCTAAAATTCAGTCAGAGACTTAGTACTATATCTACCAATGATAGTGAACATCATACTCGTATCTACAAAAGGGAAAACCCATCATCTTGACAGATTGACATTGCTATTGTTAAATTATATATGGGTTATCATAAGCATTACAAATTAAATTACAAAATAGGTGACAATTTGTTAATTAACACGCAATTTTTATTCATGTGCTTTCCTTGTGTAACCTAAAAATGTTCTCATGTCAGTTTTAAAAGGGATCTTCTATTTTTTAATCCCATAATTTTTTGGAAAATATGTATTACATTATTTATATAAATTTATAAGTGATAAGTCTGCAGGAGGAACTTGCAGACGGCTTTTGAAATTTGGAAAGCCCTAAAGCCGTTTGTGTATAAATCTTAGAAACTTTGTTACGAATTCTGTACGTATATATAATGTTAGATGAAATTGTTGCATTTTTCCTTTATAATGTAAAGAAAAGATACTCTGCCAGAAAAATAAGAGTACAGGTGGTCATATGAGTAAATGGCTATTTTGCTAAATTGGCGGGATATTGCTTAGCTGGCGATGGTTTTGGTGAGAATTCGCCAAACTTGGCGACATTTTTGTCCAGTTCTGTATATTTATAGTGGGTATTGTAATTTAATAACTGTAATTACTCTGCGTACGTAACTGTAAAATTATCTGGCCCATAGATGTAAGTTTAATTGTATGTGCCTTTCAGTAATTTTAAGAACTACTAGAGATTTTTTGGCAACCTAGGGAAAACTGCATGTAAGCCTTGGAGGTAGCATCCGCATTAAAAGTAGTTGTTGCAGGGCTGGCCCTAGTACTTTTTCTGCCATATGTAAACCTCAAAAGTGCTGCCCCAATCTTCAAAAACTTTAAAATGAAAATAAAACTGATTTATAAGAAACATAACTAGTAAAATACGGTCAGAATTTAATTGAATAAAAACATTAACATTTGTAGAATATCTACGAATTTGTTTAAAATGAAAAAGCACACAAAGTTGAAACAAAAAAAACAAGCTTAAAACAAGTTAATAACTAAATTAAAATAATATCTTTCAATTCATTATTCAATTTATATTCAGTGGCCATCATGGCTAACCCCATTAAGACAGTTTTGAGTAGACATGGTTCTTAAGTTATTTTCTATTTTTTTATTTTAGAAAATGATATTTCACCAGTAGCAACAACAGGGAAGTCGATGGGCAGAGTTAGCAAAATTCTTCAAGCAATGCTTAAATTTGGCCTAATTTTAAGGGAATTAATGAATACAAGAATATCAACTGAACCTTCTTCCTTTTTTAAAAGAAACAAGGACTATTTCATCAGCCAATACTAAAGCATTAACACATTAATGGCGGGGGATCTTGACGAAAGTATGCTAGGTAACGTGGCACTGATTGCCTGATCTATAGTAAAGAAAAACAATACTGTATTTCTCTTTTGATTCTTGTATAAGTTTATCTACACTTTCATATGAAAAATTTAATTTTTTAGATCAGACACGATGGCGTAGCTGACATGAATGACATAGTTGATGGACACAATCCACATAGATGACACTTCAAAGTTTTTCTATGTCTGTTTTGTTAGTTAACTTTTCTGCTTCCAAGAAAACAGGGTTAAAGATTCAGCCGATCTTAGTTCTTTTTTTAAAAAGTTAACGATTTGTTTAATAAATCAGTGGCTTGGGATAAATCAGAATCTTTTGATTGAAGTAGCTTACTTTTTGGATTAATATGATTCAAAATTTTATACCAAATGGCAATCAAGCATAAAAATTTTAATTATTTTATTGTGCTGAACAAACCACTGGCCTCATCTTGAATCATATTATCTGTTCTTACATTTTCCCAAATATTTAATAAACCATTGTGAATATTTTCCATTTCAAAACCGAGCTTTCGGGAATTTTCCAATGATTGTCCTTAATGGCTTCTGTATAAGAGTTTTGAAATGTTTTCTTAATATGGCCCGCAGGAAAGTCTATGCAAGAAATGTATATAGCTTTTGAACCATATTAAAAAAATTGACTGCCTTGAAGAAAGATTTTGCCATATCGTTAAATGTTTTAAGTTTAATGAATTGTTGTTATCAGCCATGTAAAATGCTCTGGGATTTAAAGTTTTAATTCTTGAATTTACTCCCATTTTGTCACCTTACTATTTGAACCATTGTCATAACCTTGATCTCTTATATTTTCTAATTTTAATCCATTTTCCCCCAATTCTAATAAAATTTGACATAATTTCTTCCCAGTAATCTTTCAATAAGAGGAAAACCTAGAAAATGTTCATTAGTATTGCATTCAAAACCTGCTTCTAATTGGTCAATGGAAGTACTATATCTTACTACAAATTTCATTTGTTCAACTTTATTCACATCGTCAGTACAATCAAGGATAACTGAATAATATTTCACTTTTTGAACTTGTTTTATAATATTAGACTTTATATTATCATGTAATAATTCAATAATTTCATTCTGAATGTTTTTTTTATATGTTATGTTTTCTTCATTACTGAGGATTCTATGAACACATTCCTCCATTATTTGGTCAAATTCAGCTAATAATTGAATTAACTTCAGAAAATGTACTTTGTTATGTTCATAAAGTCTGTTGCTTGTACCTTGAAGAACTAGAGAAATTCACCAAGCAATTTAATAGGTGACATTATGCATAGAATTACTTCATGCCAGTATTTAATTTTAGAATTAATTAACCTTTTTACAGCTGGATCTACTGTCTTGACAAGTTTCTAACCATGATTCCAAATTATTTACATGAGTTTTCGAGCCTTCATGCTTTCCTAGTATTTTGCCAATATTTTTCCACATTTTATAACCCTCGTTTAAAATCGAACTCAATTATGAATGACCAAAATGTATACAACAAAAAGAGAACACAGAATCTTTTGACACTGAATATACTAACTAATCTCGTGACACATGCTCTGCATTTTTAAAAATTCTGTTATAGTACTTTGCGCAAAATCTTTGATTTGAAATTTGATTGTCAAACTTAAAACCGTAACCAAATAAAGGAGATAATGGACATTTTCTAACTAAAAATGTTCAGTCTGAGTCACTTATGCTATCAGGCCATAATCCTGGGTCAGACCAAGTTTGGTTGAGGCATCCTTCATTTCCCATAGTAATATCTATTACCTTGAAACCTGTTGAGCTCTGTTCCTGTGTGGAACTGTAAATGTTATTATTAATGCTGCTGCCATCTTGATAATCCAAATCAGAATTGATAGTAGGGTCTGTATCTCACCATCGCATAATTTTTTGCTTTGGAAATACTTGCATCTCCTTAATAAGCTGTGCAGTGCTCTTGATTGCTCCTCTAACCTCTTTTTAATATTGTCCACAAAACAGTCTTTTTTTTTTAAATCGATTATTTGGGGTCTAAAGTTCTAAAGAATGATAAAAAAAAAAAATAACTTAGATGCCTTATATTGAAACATAGGAATTTAAAGAAAATATTATACGTTTCAGGTATACCACAGAGCAACCATCCAGAAGTTTTCCTCTTTAAAATTCCAAAGTTAATAGCAATAAACATAGCAGAAAACTGTATTGAAATTGGTTTAACAATTCCCCAGAAAATTACAATTAAACTTTAAAAATACATAAGCCAATGTGATTGAAAAAAAATAGTTGAGCGGACTTAGCAGATTAATATAACAAACAATACTAACTTAAAACGGGTACAACAAACAGTACTAACTTAAAAGCATTTTTCACATCCACTACACTGTAAATGTTACTTAAACTGCATCACTACCACAATCCATATAAACTTTATGGACATTATTGCATAAATAAGGCATTGTTTTAAATATTGACTCTTTTACTAGAGGGTGAAAAAAAGTTTCTTAAAGATTCAGGCAATCAGAATATATATATATTTAAGTTCAGTTGGTTTTTGCAACTGTAGGCAGTTGCTTACCATCCCTACTGCCTAGAGCTGGCCCTGGTTGTTTAGTTCAGTGAATGTTAGCTTCACTCTTTTGATGCACTTAGCATTGAGTTGCAGTTAATGTCCTTAATGGTTTGAAGTGTAACTAATGATTGTACTCTGTGATACTGTGAAGAGCTGTAGGAATATTTTTGTGGCAGATTACCAAAGTCTGAAGTGTTTTTTTGATAAAATAAATTTTATCAAGCTGCCATCAGTTCTGTGTGCATTCAGTCTATTATGAACCCATATACGCAAGCAACAGTATTACTTTTTTACTGAACTTCAAGAGAACATAAATAAGATATATTGTTGGATACATCTCCTGCTTCCTGAAAGGTGTAATGTAAAAAAAAAAAAAAAAAAAAAAAAAATAGAAGCTATCTGTAATTCTTTTCTTACATGTACTGTAAATACAAGATAGTTGTCCATAGAAAGGCCTTTACTTGTGTTGCTAAATTATGTTATTAAAATTCCTGAACTTGCATGCCTAATACACAAGGTTTAGTTCAAAAAGCAATGCCTTCCCTTCCTGTTTATGCTTGCATACTTCTTAGACTGGTAATTGCTATGTGTATTTCTAGAATTAAATAATACAATCCATGTCTAAGTCTTATTTATATGACAAAAAATGGGCTTCGTAACATAAAACTGTCATGAAATGCTTAATTTATGTAACTGAGTAATATGGGATTGCCTGTGAAAATATATAAATTGGTTGGTGGAGAAACGAAAAATTAAAGAGTCATCAGGTTGACCTCCAGGTTATATATAATGCTAATTAATTTTTGATTTTTTGACTGCTTCATATTTAAATAATAGAAGTTGTCTTTGATTTAAAATAATTAATTCCCTTTTTATCTACAGTTTTATCTTGAAAAATATGCAAAATTTAAAAGAGAATTCAGCACAATATCGGCAACAAGAAATTATGAAACTAGCAGTAGTGATACAGTGATTTTTTTCCCTAGCATATTGTGATTTTTTAATATCAAATTCTAAATATATTTAAGAAGTTTAGCTAGGAACATGTTAATATTAAGGAATATAACTATTATGCTGGTGCAAATATGATAATATGGTTAAGATGCTCTTCCTGCATATATTTTGACAAATATGATCGTGGTCTTTTCAGAGATACTGAAATGGTGTCTTGAACCTTATATACGGTTTCATAGAGGTGCATGTAAATTTAACATGCTTTTTAGTCATTACGTGCAACCATTTTGAGCAAACCTAATTAATGAATTTCTTAAAATGAGCAAATAAACTAGCATCTGTGTCTTGTCATTTACACCCGGTAGGTAATTAATTTATTGGCAGACAGCTTTTGAAAAGTTGTTTTACAATGAAATTTTTTGAAAGACCTCAATGCTTTGAAGGCTATTGGTGAGGTGTAAAATTTGCTTTCTCCATTACTAATTAACTAGCTTAATGATAGCATGAAATTCTATTATGATGAAACATGTTAAAGGAGATCAGATTGATTCACCTTTCTCTTATATTTCATTCATTAATGTCACTATGCATCAATATTTATTTTTTCACTTTGAGCTTGCATTTTTTTTTACTGTGTATGTCACTCCAATTTCAATCCATAACTTAAGGTTTTATGCATGTAAAAGTTCTCCAATTCCTATCATATTGGAATCAGGTTTTTCACCTATATCTTTGAGTGAAACATGAGTTTTCTCATGAGTGCTTCCCTGTACAAAGCTTTGTGCAATACTGATAACAAGCACACAAAGTAATTTTGCCTTTTTTCCTAGAACATTTTTTGTGAAGGATCATATGTTATTCATCTTTATTTGGTAACAAGACAGAAGTGTTGACAGTACTCCTATTTGAATGTAACTTTCGTAGTCCATTATTGACAATTCCTTAGAAGATTTTAAAACAGGCCTTCAAGTGTGAATATTTGCTAAGAGGAAAACAAAATTTTGGGGAAGATATTGCTGATGTTAACATATCTATTATGTGGTTATCTTTTACCTTTTCACAATTTTACAGAGATTGTATCAAATGTTTTACTTAGAGCTTCATGGTAAAGAAATCATCAGGTTGTTCTTTTAGCAGGTAACCACAAAGTCTACGAAAAACATACCATATTTGACGGCATATAAGATGCACATTTTTTCCTAAATTTGGTCTAAAAAAAAGTAACCTGCGTCTTATATGTGAAGGACTTAGGTTAACTTTCAATACTGAATGCTATTTTTAGCCTGGATAAAGGTCTAGACACACATAACTTTTTCTATATCTTCATGTGTGTGGCCTTTTAAATAAGGGTGCATCTTATGTGCCAGTGCGTCTTATATGCCGTCAAATACGGTACTTTGCAGGAGGAATACATTACAAGATTTATTGTGTTTGACATTTCAAATGCAGTGGGGGTAAAGAAGAGTGTGTTTTCTTTATCTCCTTGACTAATGCATTGATTATTTACACAATATTATCATGTAATGAGCAGTATGATTTGAAAATTCTGTGTTCTTAACTATAAAAACCTCCTGAAAAATGAAGATTTATCTGAGAATTTAAATTACTTTGGAAATGTTCCACCATTACATAAATTGGAATATATGCACAATAGTTATTCTTACATGAAAAAGTACTTTGATGATTAAGTGTATAATGGCAGAAGTGCTGAGTAGTAGTTATAGCATTTCTTGCATACAAATAGTTGATCAACTCTTTAAAAAACATGGGAGCACAAAGTCAATTCAAATTATATTGCATTGTTTAGCTATAACTATGCCTCTTAGTGTTTTTATCAGAAATTTGATTCCATAGTTTTTAATCTGCCCTTTTCACTATTCTGATTTTTTTGTTTTAATAAAACTGTAACACTTAAAAAAATATTGTTTGTAATCTTCAGTAAATTTGTGAGAAATAAAGCAGCTGAATCTTAATTGTTCTCGCAGCAAGTATTTTCAAAAGGCAGATATATTTCAAAAATACTTAAAATTTTGTAATATGGAAAGATGCAAATATTTTAGTGATATTATAAAGGCTTGTAAAGTAGATCTTCACCGATTCTGCATGAATATGTTTGTTTCAGATTTATTGGCATTTTGTGAATATATGTTTCATATGTATGTTTTTAGGGTTATAATACAGTTTCAACTAGCCACGACCCATCTTTGATGGCCAATAGTCTTCCACCCATGTCTAGTTTCAGGGACCCGTCCAGCCATAGAACACCTATGGCCCATTCATCTGCCTCTCCTCTTTATGGCCAAACTACAAGCCCCCCAAGTCCGTTGAGTTCCTCCGACCCACTTGTAAATCGAGGTGCTCAACCGACACAGACTGGGGATACATTAGGAAAGGCTCTTGCCTCGGTAAGTATTATTTAATGACTTAATTATGATGTGTATGATGTATAATTTTTGAGAGCTATAATGTACATAAATGTGTTGTATTATGTACATTTCCCTCCCTTCCAATCAACAGATATATTCAGCTGAGCCGCCTGGAAATAGTTTTTCTTCTACTCCTGCTACACCTGTTAGTTCACCTTCCCCTCTCTCTGGTGAGTAGAAATTAATACCTTCCATTTTGGTAGTCATATTGTTTAATTTTCAGTGACATTAATTATTTAAAAATTTTAGGGGTTACACATTGGTCTCGTAGTGGCACTCATACAGCACCTACACCAAATTCTGGTTACTCTGAGGGGACGTTACTTCCACTGGTAATACATCTTATTTATTTTTAAAGCTCTCAGTAATTAATTTCACATTGCAATAAAATTTGATTTAAAAAATGCCATTTTTCTTGTGCAGTGAATTAAAAGCATTCCTCCCATTCAATGGGCAGTGTTCTTTTTTTTTAATAATTCTGAGCTTTGATTCAAATTCATGAAATTGATGCTGTAAGATTTGATCCATGTTTCTCTATGGATTGTACAGCTGTTTGTAAGTGAAATTTTTCTGCGACTTCTGATAGTAGATGCTTACTAAAGGGGGCAATGTGTGTTTTCAAATTGCTGCTTTATGCTTAATGAATAAACTTCACCATCAAAGATGGATTTGATAATTTGTCTGATGACATTTACATAGTGCATAAAATAAGTTTCTGAAAAAAAAATTCATGTGTAAGAAAGGTATTTTAATTAATGACACTTTCATGAAAGCAAAGTAGTGCCTAATATTTGTGTACAAAATTTTGATTTAATGCTAGGAAGGAACCCCCAATACATGTGATCTTTTATATATGTTTTTCCTAAAGTGTTCTATATTGTAGCAGTTTTCAATCCAAACATACTTTAATGATCAATTAATCTTCTTGACTTTAAATAAACTTACAGTAGATATTTTACATAGCTGTTACTTAATTTTTTTGTCAGTACAAATCATTAATCTTAATAGTTAAATTTTGCTTACACCTATTTCTTAGTTTCTTGTAAATATATATGAAATCCTGAAAATTAGTTTACAAGGGTTATCTTCAGAACCAAATTATATTTGGACATGATGCTGCACATAATTGTTTGACACATATGTTATTTTTTCACATATTTACTTGGACATGAGAGTGGCTTTTTCATGCCCAGTTTAAGTAATTTGGCATTGTGCATGCTAAGTAGCCATATCACCTTTGTTTTGTTGGATATTTGTAGCTAGCAGAATATTGCTTTGAGAATTGGGATTAGGTGACTATCTCTTGGTCCAAATGTCAGAAATGAATGATAGTTAATCACACAACTTCTATCAAAATTGTTGGAAGAGTTCCAAAATAGAAACAGAAATGTATAGACAAACATTGTGATGGAGGAATAGCAGATTCTTTATCACTAGCAGCCTCGGATGATATCTCATGACATCTGGTAGACATTCAGTGTATACACAGAAATTCAGTGTTATTTCAGAAGAAGTCCGATTTTGTGTCAAAATACCTATATTAGAATGATGCTATATATAAATCTAATACATATCCTAAGTCGCGCTTTCGAGATATGAAAAACGCAAGTTGAATTTTGTTAGTCGTCCCAGTAGAACAGGAGATATAGAATTGTCCCCCCCTTTTTTTGCACAGTTTGAGTAAGAAGTCTTGTAACATTTTAACTGAAAGGCGTTCAGTTAATCATCATGCACATTCAATGTAAAATCATAACAATCTCTAAACAGTGATGATGCTTGCTGTTTATTTAGGGTGCCATATTTTTACATTATTTCTCACAAGATAAGAAAGGGGGAAGAAAGATGAGACTGAGGTAGCAGGTAAGTAAGGTTGTTTCAGAATTTGAACGAATTTATATTCAGAACATTGCTCAAACATTGTAAGAAAATTCATTCAGTTGTATTTGGATTCTAACTCCAAGGAACGTCACATTGTGTTTATATGTCATGAGATATGAACCTGATACTTTTATGGAAACTCGGAAACATGAAGCTTATGTCTACAATAATCGGGTAGCATATTTTATTATATAGGCTCTTGTACAAAAATAAGAGAAAGCCTGTGGTGACTCAATTTCAACAAAAGATGCATTTTGCATGTGTCCTTCTATGTGAGCAAGAAACTTCACAGCAAAGTGTTAATTTGATATGATGAGTTAAGACATCCAAAATTGTATAATGCAAGATGTTTCCAGCCCATGGGCAAGTGTAGAGTTTTAAGGGAGGCATTGAGATTTTCTGTTGTATGATGGGGACTGTAATTGCATAGTAGTGCCAGGTAATTTTTAATAGCCTTTGGTACTAACAGTTGGATTTCATCCACTAGGCAAATTTTCCCATGGCAGATACAATGATCTATTACTAAGCTTTGCCAAAATGGGGTCCAGAGGCTGTGTGCTGGTTATCATAATGGGCTATTTCTCAAGCTTTCATGAAGTCAGTATCTTGTCAAATTATATATGCGAAAATGTGTAAGAAATATGCGAAGACATATTTCCAGTTTAGGGGGTAATATTTACAAGCATGTGTGTTAGAACACTGTTGCAGTATTTGTGTGGTGTTTTTTAAACTAGCTTAAGAGGAGTAATTTTTAAATTATTCATATAAACTAATCTTGCTTTCTTTGCACTTCTGACAATTGCACATAGAATATTTATAAATATATTGTACTAAGAAAATAACAACAAGGCCATGAACTCTTAATTCAATCATTGCCATTAATATTTGATGGTATGTTAAATATTTTAATATGATTGCATATGTTTATGTATGTATGGGTGGCATACATTGGCATGTTATAGTGAGACTAAAGTGTTTTATAAGTTCTTTTGCACCCTATTCTGCTCTTATGTCTAAATGGAGTAACTAAAAATATTAGTCTTATGTATTTCTCCTCATTTTTTTCTTTTAAAATGACATTTTCAAAGGGTGCAGAAATTAATAAAATTGTGCAGAAAGAATAAAAATTTAAATTATCTTAGAAAAGCACTATGTTATTATTCTTGAAATATTTGAAGTGGCATTTAATAGATTATTCTTGCATTTTCTTTTGTTAAAAAATTATTTATTGCATGGAATTTCTTTTCTTGGGTCGTTATTGTTGCCCTTTACTTTTTTTTGAATGTTTTATGAATGCCTGATCAACTTTAAAACATAAATTATAATTTTATGGGTTTTTGAATATTTTTTGAATGTATGTATATTTTGTTTTTGATTTGCATGCTTTTTCTTCTCATTGATATTTTGCATTTGTCCTGTATTATTTTAAAATTGTAGCAAAGTAGACTGGAAGACAGACTCGATGAAGCCATTCATATTCTCAGAGATCATGCTGAGGTACAGTGATTTTGTTTTTATGGTTTCAAACTGAAAACTTTGAGGGTTAGCATATTTCTCTATAAGCATTGTCATGTCTTAGAAATAATTTTAGTTTAATAATATACTAAATTTTAAGAACAGAGTTCTAAAACTAAATTCTAACAAAAATATTTTATTAAAAAAAATTAGCTGGAATAGGATGTCATGTCAAATACTGTATCATAAATGCTGGATCAAGCTTTTGTCATAAATTACGCTACACTATAAAAGGTTAAAATTAATTATTCAGAATGATTAACTGTTGTCATTAAATAAATAGTTTCATTTTTAAGTGTTTTAAATGTAACTTCTTGCAGACTTCTTGATTTATTTAGTATAATAAAATGTATTAAGTTTAATATTCATGTTAAACCTTTAGGTGATTATCTGAAATATGTCATAGTCCTTATTAGAGTAGAGAGGGGTTGACTTTAAGAATAGTATAATTATCATTAATGTGTTTATGATCTCATAAACACGGATAATTTTTAGAAATGGTCATCATGTGTTATATTTTACTGTATCTGTATTCATGTGTTCATTAAAGCGTTTAGTTAGCTCAAAGTGAGTATAGAATGCAGTTGTTGTCTCACTCAATGGTTCTTCTCTGCTTGTCCCAACATTTTTGTTTTTCCTTTGTTTGTCATAACATTCTCTTCTGTGTATTTACGTTAGATGACTATGTAAATATAGTTATTTGTTGTTCATGGTCTAAATTCTCAGAAGTATTGTCTCCTAGCATGTTCTAAGCATGAAATGTAATCTATCGAATATTTGCTTTGATAATGGACTTAATGTTATTAATTGCAGTGCTGAATACATTTAGGTCCAGTTCTTTAACTCATTTTTGTCATAGCATTATTTTTCAAATAAGAAATGTTGGGAAAAAAAAAAATTTTTTTTTTTTTAAATATTAGCCATAGCATTGAAATTTTATGTATGGGACTGCTGTAACATCAGCTGTCTACCTTCCTTTTTTATTTCAGTTGGCAGTACCAAACTTATATTTATAGTATATATTCAAACCCTTACCCAGCTTAAAAGTTCTTACCTGGCCTTTATTTTCACAATTGTTTTGCCATAGTCATACATCCAGTAACAAGTATTTTAAATGATGAAAAAAATATTCATGTTTTGGCAATGTCAGATTTTTTAAAAATAATCTTGAACAAATAATGAAATCTAACTGAATGCCGGTCTCCAGTTCATACAGTTATGTTTGAGATATTTGAGAAAGTTTTATATTTTTATGAAAAAATAAAATTAGAAGAAATTTGACTCCCATGTGACAAAAATTTACCACGATATTTAATTTCAAAATTTGCAATTTTTTACTACATTTTGTCTTGAGGGATTAGTTAATTTAGAATAATTCAAGGAAATAAGTTTAAATGAAGCGCAGCAAAATATCTGTATAATCTAATAGGCCATACGGGGAAGTTGTGGTGTTCACATCAGATTTTTTTTTAAATATGACTAGTTCATAAAAATGTATATGTCACCTAGACTTCGAAGAAACTGTTCAGTCTTTGATGAAAGAAATAGACAATATAAACAGTCATATAAAATCTTAAGGGAATGCATTATAGTATGAGATCATAATTTATAAAATAAACATCTATTCATGACAGTGTCATAATGAAGTAGACTATTTTGAAGGGAATATATGTTACATAATAATACTGAAGAACACATATTTTATAATGTTTTAACTAAAAAACCCTAGATAACAAATATTTTGATCCTATAGATATATAATATATGAATTTAAAGTAATCTACTTTCCCCCATTGATTTGTGGGTGGTGGTCGCACTTTGAAACAAGCACATATGAGCTAGTAGGGGGGAAAACTTATCTTTTTTTTTTTTTTTTTTTTTTTTTTTTTTTTTTTTTTTTTTTTTTTGTGCACATTTCCAATAAATGATAAAATTTGTGAATTTAAAAAAAAAATTCTATTTAAAAATTGCATTGTGTGTAAATTTTTTACATTGTTTTACAGAGCAAATGATCAGTCATTTTTTATGTTGTTTTACAAGTAAATCATTAAAAAAATTTAAAAATAAAAATTTATGTAATTTTTCTATAGCTGTGAAAACATAAGAACCTACATAATAAGGATGTTCAGATAAATAGATTTAAAAAACTCAACTCTGTTAAATAAGGATAAAAGAAACTCATTATTTTTTTTTTTAAATGTCAAAGAACAAAATTATTTCTCGTGAAACTGTTCAAAGCATGTTTTGTGTTTTTGGTACTTGCATAGACCAACATTGCACGTTTCGCACATGTATCTTGTTCTTTAAAGTTTCTCTCTCATTCTACAAAATGTATATTACTGGGATTTCCATTTTACTGTTCTGCACTGTTTAGTCTGTCTTCATATGGCATATAAAGTTTATGGTTTTTTATGTTAATGGGCAGAGAGATGATTGGTCCTTTTTGCTTTGGTATGGATCCTTCGTTTCCCATTCATATCATAATGCTGATTATATCAATTCTAAATGACTTGCATATTTTTAGACTGGGATCACTTTCTGGATGCGTATAATGAAGGCATTTATATTGGTGACATGGTAAATTTATATCATCATTTTCTGACTGATCATCACTTTCATCTTCTGTATTTTCATAAGCAGGAGGGAAGGGGGTAAAGGAGCATTTTTGTTTCTATCACTTTCATCCTCAGAGACCACTGATTGTGGATCTGAAAGTAATTATTGAAGCTAATGCATCAGCTGTTTCTAGCCCTTTGCAAGACATTGTAAATCTGAGCAATAGAAAAAATTATTTATAAAATATTTTAAACTTAAATAAAACTTAAAAGAGAAGCTTTAGTAGCATTGATAAGGTTTTGTTTCCTAACTTTTACAAGCATTCCAAATTTATACTTTCACATAAACATACAGCTCAGTGCTGCACGGGAATGAAAGGAAAATATGAGACATTAAAAAAGACAATCTTTCTTTAAAACAAAATAATTTTTGTGCATGAAGATTGATTTCTTTTATTCATTTTTTGGTATAGGCATCTAATTTGATTTTAAAATGATAACTGTAAAGGTGAAACTGTTTTTTTAGTTAGCTTAACTAAGTCCTTGAAGATGTTGCTTTACATTGTATTTCAAGAATTATGAGACTTAACCACTTGCGCAAAAAAGATGTGCCAAGAACGTTGAGATGCTTTTGTCTCAAACTGTGCGCAAAAATGAAAATAATGTGGTGCACACATCGCCTAACAATGAGATTGTTTATTTCTCGAGTTACAGCTCTGGATTGCACTCGCAGACACGAAGCGGCGTAAATAAGACACTTTACCGCTTGTTATATTGTAGCGTACGGCACTGCAACCGTGAAGTTTAATCATAGCGCAAGTGGTTAAAAATATTCTTGTATAATTTACAAATAATTTTGTTCTTTGGTTAAATACTATATATATCCCATTTTTTGTAATATTGAAACATAATTTAAGTAATCATAGCCATGTAACATTAAATAGCTTTTGAGGAACTTAATGATATTTTTCAGTCTCACTCAAATACACAAAATAAATAAATAAATGAAAATAGAACATATTAAATAAATAAAACTTTCAGATTGTTTACCAAAGCATAATAGTTAACCACGTAATCAGAAAACCGAAAAGCTTGTTTTTGACTTAATAAAATATGTAAATAAAATGGTGATAAAATATATAAACACACATAATTTTAAGACATCAAAAATTAGGCTCAGTTACTCCATTTATTATATTAAACCCATAAAGACATTTTATATTGGTAAAAACCATGTCTCCTATTATTCGTGTGGGCTTTTAATAATAATAATAATAATTAATAATTTTTCATGCATTTGGGGCAATTATCTCAGCGGTGTTATTTTTGTGTGCTTTTTTCACATGCACTTTTATCAGGGAATTAAATTTTAGGCGCCTAATTCCAATCAGCTGCATGTGGAAGGGTCTTAAATGGTATAAGAGCCTGATCATTGCCCCCCCCCACACACACACATACACACACAAAGTGGGACTTCAGAAATTGGATTAAGTCTTGTTTGATAGTATGTTGGGTAGAATTTGTGATCATGCCACTTATTGTCAGCTGTTGCAAAAAGAGAGGAAAGGAACTCAAAGAGTTGTTGGTTTATCATTCTGGCATATCCCTGCATGTATAGGCTAAAAGGTCAACACTTTTCATTGCTGTGTATGTTAATGCTCTTGTCATAATGAAAGAATAACGTTTAGTGATATACTGTGAAGTATGCCACATATTAAGCTCAGGATGTTATAAATAAATAAAATTAAGAGAGTAGAAGATAGTGTATAATGTGAATGGTAACTTTGTTTTGATATTTAAAGATGTTTTTCTCTCCAACCGTTCTTATAAAAATTCTAAAATCTGTTTTCTCTTACTGTTATTACTTAAGTATCTCACAGATTGTGCATATAAAGTATGATTCCAGAGTTAGTGTTAAATGACAGAATGTATGTGGATGTAAAGGATGTTTTCACATGAATGATATATCTGTACATCTTAAATCTACAATAATACCATAACTACAATGACATAACAGTGTTTACAGTTGTGTTCAAACTTTTTACTGGATTTGCTTCTTTGTAATCCATGTGCATCTTTTTATTATTTTGCTTTATTTTAGTATCAAATTGATGTGTTCTGATCAGAGTTTGAATTCACATATTTGTAGAAATAATTAATTGATCTGTTATTGTCTTCATTCATGATTCTTCTTCTATGTACCATACCCTTCTTAAATGATATAGTGTTTGAATCTAACTTTAACAATGTTGAGTCCCAGATGAGGCATGAACATTTGTGACTATAATGTCTTTGAAAAATATAAACTTTAAATTTCTATCAGTCTGAAAGTCCTATCTGAAAATTAATGGTAGGGGAAGAGAGATGCAAGATCCTCTGATTCAATCTTTTAGGTACTTTAAATTTGGATGGAGTTTAAACAGAATG